AGCTAAACGCACTAGTGTGTAAATTGTGTGCGACACAAATATGCCAAAATGCAAGCAACAATGATATATTTAAACAACAAGCAGTCATCCCAAAAGGTTGCTCTGTTGGCAGCAAGAGTAATGGGTTCAATTAGAATCAAAGGGAACAAAATAAAGGACAGTTATGTTGTTGTTGGCAGGCAGCACACATGTAAACAGCTCTTAACCTGTTAGCATTAGGGGGATGATGTGTCAGTGCCAAGTGTTTAACACACTGGCTTAACCATGAGACATAATTCCATTCTTAAAGAGATGCATAATTCATAAACCACAGTGTTTTATGTCCGAGCTACAATTCAAAGAGGTTGCTCCCCAATGAAATAAGCAGCGGAATGACACCACTGACAAGTAGTAAATCCTGTCGCATGCGCCGCATTAGCCCTCAAACCCACTGCTTCTGAGCAGCTTTACCCACAAATTCACATGTAGCACATGCCTATGGAAGATGAGCAAACGAGCAGAACATTAAGAATTTTTATTTATGTTAAACTCAGAGGTGGAAAGAGTACTGAACATTTGTACTCAAGTACAAGTACTGTTACACAGCTTAAATTGTACTCAATTACAAGTAAAAGGACTGGTGTTGTAAAAATATTTAAGTAAAAGTACAAAGTACTCTTTAAAAAACTACTCAGAGTATTATTTACTTGTTAACCAACTGATGTTTTATTGTGTTGTCGATAGACGGCGTTCAATTGGATTTACTATATATAATAGCTAAATTTAAATTCAATTCAGTTCATTTATGAAGTGCCAAATCACAACAAAGTTGTCTCAGGGCACTTTACAGAAACATTCACATACATAGAAAAGCCAATTAGTAAAGTTTTTTATCTAAGGAGGCAGCAGACTCGTTAAAGCTTCTCTTCGTTGCAGTCTCCCATCCTGAGCAAGCACAGTGGCAACAGTGGAAAGAAAAACTCCCTTTTAACAGGAAGAAACCTCCAGCAGAACCAGCTCAGGACAAGCGGCCATCTGCTTTGACCGGCTGGTTTGAGAGGACAGGAAGGAGAGACAGACGAACACAGAATGTCAGGTCCAGATGTAGGTGCAGGTGTACCTGAAAGACAAAAACACATGTTAAGGATAGAAACAAAAAATACAAATACAAAACAGGTTGAGCAGAGTAAGTAAAGAAGCAGCAGAGTGAAGAAATGTAGTCAGTTTGGCCTCCAGCAGTCAAAGCCTATAGCAGCATAACTAAGAGATAGCTCGGGAAACCCAAGCCAACCCTAACTATAGGATTTATCAAAAAGGAAAGTCTTAAAACTGGACAATGTGTCAGCCTCACGGACAGAAACTGGAAGTTGGTTCCACAAGAGAGGAGCCTGAGAACTGAAAGATCTGCCTCCCATTTTGGTTTTGGAAACTCTAGGGACCGCAAGTCTGAGAACAAAGTGCTCTGTTAGGAAGATATGGAACGATAAGATCTGTAATATAAGATGGAGCTAGGTTGTTGAGGGCTTTGTAGGTTAGAAGTAAGATTTTGACTTCAATTTTGGATTTGACAGGGAGCCAATGGAGAGAAGCTAAAACTGGAGAGATATGATCTCTCCCAGTAACCCCATTTAAGACTCTGACAACAGCATTCAATTCACATTTCAAAGCTCATTCCCGTCTTATTTTAGTACCAGACAAACCGAAGGCAGTGACAAGATCTAAGATCTTTGCGTACTTAGCCAAACTAATAACTCACACATACAAACAATAAAACTAGGAGTGCACCGATGAATTAGCCGGCCGATTTATTGGCCCCGATTTCCTTAATTTTGGGAAATCGGCCGATACTTGTATGAGAAACCAATTTTACAGATTTTTTTTGTTTGTTTTAACAACGATTGTCAGAATTTCTTTTATATTTCAGAGCAATATCTCATGGCCAGTTAAAACAAGTTTGTATTGTTTCTAAGATATTGTTCAAGGGTATGTTTTTCAATAAAATAAGACTGGAAAATTGAAGGTGCATTGTGACCTCATAACACCTGACAGTGACTCTTATAAAACAAAATCGGTATCGTCCAAAATCGAAATCGGAAGGTCGGACTTTTTAGAAATCGGTGATCGTGATCGGCCAGAAAACTGCAATCGGTGCACCCCTAAATAAAACAGCAATATCATACATGTAGTTGTAAAACCTCGTATACCGCAATATGTTTTTTGAGATTAGATGCTGAAGTCTTGTAAGCTGCTGTCACCGTAGAGATCAAACAAAGTTTGCATCTGTACGCTGTTTCCTTTTCGCCCTCTGTACATGAAACATTCCTCCAGGTACGGCCACGGGCACTCGTCCTCAGCCTTTACCTCGTCATTTTCTCTGTTGACAGTGTTGTCTGTCTCCATTTTGGCTTTTTCTCCAAATCTTCGGTCCATACTCTACGGAGTTGTCCTTTGCTTACATCATAGGTAATTGGCACATTCGCGATCCGAGAGTCTTATTGGTACAAAGATGCAGATGAACGGTTTGAATATTAATTCAAGTTGCGGCCGTACTCAGTAGTGACCTCTGATTTTATAGCGAAGGAGAGTACATGGTCTAAATTGTACTTAAGCATGAGTAAAATTACACACTTGAAAGAAATACTCATAAAAGTACAAGTACCCAAAAAAATCTACTTAATTACCGTAACATGAGTATTTGTAATTCATTACTTACACCCATGGTTAAACTCTAGAAAGAAGTACAGTGTATTTGGTTTGATATCGTGGAAATGTTGCAGTGGTGAAAAGCCTAAGCATGTTTTCTCCATTTTTATGTTTTGCTTCTACATCTGTAACAGAAACCATGCAGCAATGTTTAAAATTAGCACATACATTTAAAAAGAAGAAAAAAACAAAACAGTCTGTGTGTGTTTGTGTGTTTGTGTGTGTGTGTCATTACTACACATTCCTGTGGCGTGAATCTGTTTCCGTTTTATCGTCTTGCTTTAGAGTGCACGACTAATTGCTGCTAATGTTTGTGCAATTACAATTAGTGTGAACATGAAAACACATGTTTGCATATAGAGGTGTGTACAGAGGACGTCTACAGCGGTTATCTCCAAAATGGTCGCCTTAAACTAACACAACAAAAGCAAAAAACTTTTTGAGAATACTTTCATGATCATACCTAAGTAAAAAAAAAAGTATATATTGATGAACTATACGTTCCAGATTTTATCACGTATAAGTCAGACATTTGCTTCCTACCTATTTCCTCCAACTGATAAGCACTAAAATTCATTTTCTCCTCTTTGTGATTATTTTTAATCTCATGAATACACATGAATGAGACACAGAAAACTTAATTTCTCTCTTTTTATCTATTACTAGTCCCATGGAATCATCTCTGGGATTTATCAGATTAAACCTGATTGCAGCGCATGCACACACATGCACCATCAAAACGCACACACTCGTTTTTGATTTCATTCCTCACGCTTTCACTGTCCCTCCCACCAGCTTTGTTTAGCCCTGGATTGTTGTGGATTAATCCTCTAATTGCTCTGTAGCTTTGTTGTGCGTAAAAAGCAGTGCGGAAAAGAGAGAGAATTAAGCAGCAGGTGGACTGGGTTAAAGGTTAACTTGACTCTTTATAGCTTTCTTTTAATACTAGCTCATTTACATGCAAGCATCTGTAAGGAGCTGGTACTGTATTGTGAAGAAACTCTGGCGTGCACGAGTTGTTCCCATTTGTTGCATTTGTCTCGGCAAGATTGTATTTCTTTTAAAGTAATGGAACTTTGGCTGTCAAGCTTTTAGAACCAAGTTGTGCCCGTGATTACAACTTGAACACATTTTCTATTGTTAGTGGACTTTAGGGTGGGGGTGGGGGGTGGGGGGTATATATATATGGAGTGCATGTTCCTAGGTGCCATAGCATCTGTTGCTTATTATGAAAAAACAACATTTAAAAGTAGTGAGAGGCTGAAACTTGGGCTGTCACCCAGGATTGATACCATCCTACGGGAATTCTAAACACTATTCAATTTCAAGGCATGTGTGGTACATGAGGTGGGACAAAATTGTAAAATAAATCTATCTATCTATCTATCTATCTATCTATCTATCTATCTATCTATCTATCTATCTATCTATCTATCTATCTATCTATCTATCTATCTATCTATCTATCTATCTATCTATCTATCTATCTATCTATCT